CGTGAACTGCATAGTGAGACCCTGTCTCAAAAAGACAGAAAGAAAAGAAAAGATAAATAAATTATTCTTTTCTCATCCTTGACAATTATAAAAACCCCATTCAGTATGGACAGAAATGATTAAGGACATGAACGAAAGCATCAGAAAAATGTTAGTAAATGCTAGCTTATACATTTTGTTGTTCATCTATTTTTTTATAAATAGTAGATCTATACAATAAACCTCTATTTCATCTTCCTACTCATAAGGTTTGATATCTTTAATAACTTTTTCTACTCATATTTCTAAGATCTTCTTTCATTTAATCAATGTTTTTCAAACTTCATTATTAGTGAAACTCCCTGTTCTAATGGAATCTTACATAGAACCCCACGATGTAAAACAGGCAGAAGCAGAACTACCCTGATACCAAGGGGAGAGGTACAGGTACTGATAGTTTAAGAAGCTCTACTCTAAGTGATTCAAGAAAGCTGAAGTAAAGATACACCAAAGGGGATTTCTCAGTTTTTAATAAAAATAAACAACTTCCTCATTCACTCCAATATTTACGAATATTTTCTGAACATGGTCACGTTCACCTCAGCTTCCTAACAATAAAAGGATAGTGCCTTACACAGTATTAGAAAAAGATTTAATGGTTTAAATTATTTCCTTTTTCACACTACCCAAGTGCAAATTAAGTAAAAGACATAATCCTACAACTAGGTTATTAAAATGAGTTTTAAAAATATTTAACATGTAATACAAAAATTTTCTAAAAATTACCACTGCTTTATAACATGGGCTTTACTCCAAAGACTATCCAAATAACTCTTTAGTCTTACTCTATAGTTACTCTGAGAATACCTTCCTATATAATGATTCTGTGGCTCTATTTTGGGATTTAAAAAATTCCTTAGTTTTATATACAATATTTTAAACCTGATTTGCTTGAAAAGGCAAAGAAAATCATGTAAGGTCAATTTTTAGCTTTCTCAAAGCTTAGATTAGAAAGATTTTACAAATAGCAAAAAATGAAAACTTCTAAAGTAAGTTCACTTGTGTTTCTCAGGCTATTCCTTCATATTTATCAACCTCCTTCCACAGAAATGGAAGGCCTTTTAAAATGACTTCTTCATAAACTGAGGCTTTAAGATGACCAACTCTCTGCTTAACTTTATAAAAGGCACCCCTGTTCTTCTATGTTCCTCACTGGCTGGACAGGCAACACCAGGTGTGAAATACGGCTCCACAGCCCACTCAATTTGTCTGAGTCCATGTGGTTGAAGGAGCTGGGGGTGTTTGAGTTGGTAAACTTAGCCCAGAGTAAATCCCTCACTTTTTCTTCAGTTTCTCTTGGGCCTACATTTGTTTCTAATTTTTCCTCTTCCAGCAGAACAGTCAAAACGAGGGCTACATCTTTAAAGGCAGCATTCTCATGATCACAGTACTTGTAGAAGATCAAGGTAGAGCCTGCAGGAAGAGATTCGAAGTGGTGTACCACAGCAGCCTTCTGGCCATTCTCAAATCCATAGCTCAGCTCCAAGTCAACAACCAGCTTGACTGTGTCACTGTCCTGCAAGGCTCTCTCGGCCCCATCAATTGTAATGGCAGAGACTTTCTGGGAAGAGGTATAGGCATCAGCAACATGGTGGCTCAGGCACTTCAGGGTCTCTCTTCCCTCTCGAGCTGCTGTAAATATGATGGTGGCTGGCTCAGTAGGGTTTGAAGCATTGAGGTGCTTTTGGAGAAACTTACGTCCTCGCTGCCACAGGAAGGAACTCTGGCCTGGAAATTTATCCTTTAATTGGCTAAAATGAGCCAAGAAAGCCTCCAAAGCTGGATTTTGAGGCACTTGCTGGGCTGGAGATGAATAGTAGCTATTAACAAACTTCAGCACAAAAAACACAACCACCAGGCAACCAAAAACTATAGAGCCTGTCGAAGAATGAGAAAGTAACAGAAATTCAGTGAACACATGAGTCAAAAAGCCTGTGGTAAAACTGAAATGAAGCAGAGATTACCATTGGGTTTTACCAGAAGTTCTAACTTACCTTTGCCTAAATATTTTAAACTTTTACTATTAAAGTCTGCCAGAAATACTTTTTCTCTAATCTCTTCTTCAATTATTTGAATATACAGAATCTTTGCTATAAGGTAAAAGCTGAGGTCATGCATTTTTTGCTATTACTAATGATTTGTTTTAGTGAGCCATTAAGATTTTCTTCCATTTTCTCAAAGTACTTACAGCACATAGTAAACATCTTTTACGAGTCAAAACTTAAATACACCCCCTGAGAACTTAGTACACACTGATTAAAAAGGTGGTTTTTAGCTGGGGTTGTAGCTCAGTGATAAAGCACTTGCCTTAGCATATGCAAGGCCCTGGTTTCAATCTTGATCACCACCACGACCAAAAACGAAACAAAAACAAAAACCCACAAACCTTGTGAAAAGGCAGTTTTAGTTTCTTACTTATGGAAAGACAAAAAACCCTTCCTACTGTGAGAATTTCCATTTCATGAAGTTCAGCAGAATATCAGACAATACCCTACCCATAAGGAAAAAATACCCTTAAGCTTTATTAGAATTCATTATCAAACATTTTTTAAAAAATATTAATACAATGTTTAAACTATTTAAGTGTACTAATACTCTAGACATTTTCACTGAGGATTTATGAACATGAATCAACACTGCAATAAACACAGGTTTGTTCTCACCGTAGTTCCAAAAACTCTTTTTCTTAATCTTTTTTATCGTATTCTGTTCAGTCTTTTTGTTTTCTCCCAATGTGTGTGTTTCTTGATTATGACTTTCAGTCTCTGGGAGGAAAAAAAAGAAACGGTATCATTTTAGACATTATACTAATTAAGACTGCTTATACCTTAGTATCTCTCACCAAACTGACTAAGGAATTCTGTACTTTGTAAAATTTTATACAAAGAAAACTACAGATCATTTGTGCCAGAAATGTAGTGGCATTCCACTATATTAGGTTCTTTCTTACACATAAACTATACTTTTTAAACAGTATTCAATTTTCCTACTCAAAGTAAACCTGTGTAATTCTGATAGCTGAAAATGCGCCATACAATTACATTCAGTTATTCATTGACAAACATCCACAAAGCTGCTTCTGTGGCCAGGTATCAGAGACACACAATGAAAGAAGGGGGTACAGTCCTTGTTTCCACGGACTATTCTAATGCATAATGAATGAAACATATTTTAAATCAGTATTTATTTGCACTGAAATGTGAATTACTAGCCTTTGATCAAACACTTGGTGAACAAGTGTCACATATTTTATATTCTTTTGCACCGACAAATACGCATTTTCTTTTGTTTCGTTTTTTGAGACAGGGTCTCACTATATATTTCAGGCTAGCCTTGAATTCACTATGTAGCCCAGGATGGCTTTGAACTCCTGATGATCCTCCAGCCTCAACCTCCAGAGTACTGTGGTTACAGGCGGGCACCACCACACCTGGCTAATGTGCATTGTGGGCTAAGATCTTAAAATATGTTTAAATCAGACCCACATATACAATCACAAGTTAGAGCTACAAAGACTCAGCTTTTTCATTTTATAAATAGGAAACTAAAGTATTAAGAAATTAAGAGACTTGGACTGGGGATGCAGCTCAGCGGTGCAGCGCCTGCCTGTCAAGCGTGAGCCCCTGAGTTCAATTCCTGGTACCAAAAAAGAAAATAGTAAAAAAAAAAAAGCCCCCCCCGCCCGCCTCAAAAAAAAGCCCCTTAAGAAAAAAAAAAACTTAAAAAAAAAAAAAAAAAAAAAAAAAAACCCCCCCAAAAAAAAAAACCCCGAAAAAAAAAAAAAAATTAAAAAAAAAAAAAAAAAAAAAAAAAGCGGGTCATGGTGGCACATGCCTGTAACCCCAGCACTCGGGAGGCTGAGACAGGAGGACTGTCGTGAGTTCAATGCCAGCCAGGGCTACAAAGTGAGTTCAAGGCCAGCCTGAACTGCATAGCGAGACTCTTGTCTCAAAAAGACAAAAAAAAAAAAAAAGAAATTAAAGAGACTCGACTGAGGCATTACAAATTATCAAGTGGTAGGACCAAAACTAGAACACACAGCTCATAAGTTCCATTTAAGGATTTAGCACTCTGCAACTCTTACCTTCATAAGAGAAGGCATGCATATTCTCCATAATATGCAAGTATAGAAAATCAGGTGTGGAAATTAACTGATTTGCTCAGTCTTATAAAAAACTGAAATATGACTGAGTCAAGGATAATATACTATTACCTTTCATGAAAAAGAACATCTATTTCTTGATTTTTGTAACATTTAGTTTCCCAAAGCATAAAAGATTTAAAATTTTTAAAAATGAAATATCCTCATAAGACATAAAAACCTACAGAAGAATTTTTATTGTATCCTTTTTGTTGTATTACATTTATATAAATACTATTTTAAAATGTAGTTTACGTATGGCAGGTAATTTAATAGCAGAATAAGCTAGTCTTAGAAATGACAAACTTCATTCCAGTATCATACTGGTTTGCATGACCTTGGGCAAACCTCCAAGTCCTTAATTCTTAAAAGTCAAGACAAAAGCCAGGCCTGGTGGTACAGGCTTATAATCCCCACCACTCTGGGAGGTTAAGGAGGGAGGATCTGAAGTTCCGGCCTGTCCAACCTGGGCATCTTACTGACTTAGCAAGACTGTCTCAAAATAAAAATTAAAAAGGGCTAGTGAAAAAAAGTTAGTGATTTAGCAAGACCTTGTCTCAAAATATAAAATAAAAAAGGGAATCTTAGTGTGAAGGCCATAATGTTACAGTTCAGATCTGGGGTATCCCCCCAAATTCTCAGGTGTTTGAAAGTTACTGGATCACGAGAATTCTACAATCATCAGTGGGTCAGTCGAACGGATGAGTTCGTTAGCTCAGTGTGCTGTTGGGAGGTGAGACCTGGTGTTAATGGCTTGTGTTTAGATGTCCTCCCCAAAGCCCCATGCAGTCATGGGGTAGGCTTCTAGAGTTTTTGACTGATTCACTGTTCAGTGCTGGGATTATGGGTGTGAATGCTACAGCCACCCTGGAGTGGATAGTCTCTGCATGCAGTATAAGGGAGCAAAAGAGCCCTGCTCCTGCTGCTTTTGCTCTTTTCTGCCACAATGAACTGTTGCTCTATGCCAGGTGCCATTCTGCCTTTGAGCCAGCCAAGTATGGATTGAAACCTCCACAAACTGTGAGCTAAATAAGCCTTTCCCTCTTTAATTTGGGTACTGGGTATTTAATTTGGGTATTGGGTATTTTGTCTCAGCAATGAAAGAAAGGTAACCAATACATCTGGTTAGAGGCAGGTCACTGGGGTCATGACCTAGAAGGGCATCTCTCCTTCCCTGGCTCTTCCTTTGGCTCTCTTGCTTCCTGGCCACTATGACATGAACACTTTTCCTTCATATCAGGGCCTTCAATAATGCCATTTCTACATTTAAGCCTACCAAACATGCAAAACTTGTTAAAACTGTGAGCCAAAATAAAACTCTCCTAAGTTGCAAGTGTCAAGTATTGTGTCTCAGCAAAAAGTGTCTTAAGACACCAGATTCAATCTCCAGTACCACAAAAAAAGATAAAAGTTCTCTGAAAAGGTCTTGACTTAGCTATGTTCTCAGCAACAGAGCAAAACAAAGCAAGGTAATACTTCAGTGGGTCCCCTCACCTGGTGCAGGCTGTCGCCTCCTCAGTGAATCCTGACTCTTTTCTTTGGAATGACCAGGACTTTGGGCCTCCTGAAGGTCTGTGGTAGATGGCACCTGAGAAGCTTCTGTTCTGTCCTTTACTTCCTCAGGAAGAGAGGTAGAGCTGCTTCCCAAGTCTGCATCTGCTCTTTCCTTGTCACAAGGAAAACAATTAGCATCTGGGTCCAAGGGTTCTTTACCCAGATTTTCTGAAGGGAGGTGATCCTTTTGTTCCCCATCCTGAAAACTCAGTTTGTTTTCATCCTCTGTTTTATCTTTTGGATATTTTTCAACATTTGCTTCATGTGAATTTTCTGATTTTTCGCTTGTACCTTGACTCTCTGGACCTTCTGCCTCTAGCTTTTGGTGATCTTTAAGACCAGAGGCAGGACATGGGGTCTGAGCTTCTTCAGTGGAACTTGCTGTGACTGTGGTTTCCTGTTCCTTAGAATTCACTGATGGATCATTTTCCAAATGAGAGTCTAGTGAGACAAAAATTTAAAATTTTCATTGAAAAAAATTACAGTATTTTTGTATTTTATAAGTCCCTGATTAACATTTATATAGTGGCTTCTAAGGTACTGTTCTGAAACATTATTTCACTTGCATCCCATTAAAGGTAATTAAAACAAACATTATCCTATTAGTGTAGCTAACAACTAATAGTAATTTAAAACAATTTTAAATGACAGAATGAATTTTTGGTTATATTAAATATATTCTTTTCCCTAATGAAAGGCAACAGTTATCAGTGGCAGCTCAAACCATCATGCCAAAGGCTGGTGGGGAATTTCATCATGGATGAACCAGACTGACAAACGCTACACCCACTGACCAATCTTAACATGACCAAAAAAATGGAAAACCAGGTATCATGAATCTCCCAGTACAGTGCAACAGGAAGACTCCTACCCCTCCTATGAAATATTCTTGCTAAACAATTAAACTTGAATCTGACTAAGCTACTAGGGCTCATACTCAGTATCCACTAAGCTTCTGGAGCTCATACTCAGTATCCAAGAATGTAATTAGCAAATAATAAAAATAAATGGCAAGAAAAAGGTAAAAAAGAGGGTTAAGCTACCTTAGAAGGTACATCAACTAAATATAATGTGTAGTATATAACATTCGGACCCAGTCCTAAATAAGCCAATCACTGAAGAAACCATTTATGAGACAATAAGGAAAATCTGACTGCTCAATATTTGATAATCTTAAGAAAAGTATTATTCATCTTTTAGGTGTGATTAGGGTGTTGTAAGTTTCTGTGAGATACATATTCAAGAAAATTACAGGCTATCTAGACTTTCCTCCAACTAAATGATTAGGGAAGGCAGAAGTGAGGGAGTGTAGATGAAACAGCATCAGGCATGCTGACAGCAAACTAAATTCTTTAATGGGTACATGAAGGTTCACTGTATCTCTCTTTTATGTTTGAAATATTCTATAATAAAGCTTTTTTTAGAGGGACAACTTAGGCAATACATCAATAAAATGTAATGTGCAGCCTAAATGTAAAGTGGAAAGAGGATCTGACTGTGAAGAAAAAAAATCATGAGACAATTTGGAAATTCAGAATATGTGAATACTGACAGGATATGTGATGTTATTAAGGAATAATAACTACTTCATTTTCAGCTTTGTTTTAAAAGAAGCTATCTTTAAGAGATATAAAATATTTACAAATAAAATGATATAATATCTTAGATTTACATTAAAATAATCCAGGGCAAGCAACAAGATTAGCATTATGTCGCTAAGATTGAAGTCGGATGTTGAGTAGGGAAGAGGCTCATTATACTGTTCTTTTATATATTTAAAAACTTCCTTATATGATGTAACATAAGTATGTCCTCTTTCTCTTCTTAAAAAGCTATTTCTTTTTCTGTTTATATCAGGAATCAAACCCAGAACCTTGTGCTTGCCACACAGGTCCTGGGTCACTGAGCTACATCCCTGGCCCTGAAAAATCTATTTCTTGTTTTGCCTATTTTATATATGTTATAAGGAGGATGAAGACCTTAATCTCATTCTTACCTATAATTGAAATAGCTCCTCTAAACATACACAGCACCAGTTTCTTGCATTTTATAAACATAACTATAAAGATCTAGCATCTTTTTTAAGGATACACTGTATTCTGTCACTATAGGTACCTAATATTGCAGCCTCTAAAACATTTATCTTCCTTATATCTGGGGCTGGTATTGTGATAAAATCCAGTAAAGAGGAAAAAATAAAAATAATCATAGCAAATTAAACTACTGAAATTAGTTTACTTCAAAATTTCAGGTTTTAGTCATCTCTCTTAGCACAGCCCTAGTTTCCCAAAGCACAAACCTTGTGCTGTGCAAACTAGTCTTACCCTCTGGAGGATCCCTAAGTCCACTGTCCGTCATGGTTGTGCTCTATCTCTTCAGTTTGGACTACTTTTTTTTAGTGCCTGGGTTTCTTTGTGAAGATATCTTATTTTCTTCTTGTCCCAACTCCCAACACACTCATGCTTCCCTTGGACCCAGGAAACAAAGATTATACAGTGACTAAAATAAAATAGAGAAAATTAAATGATTTTTTATTCATATGAAATCAAAATGCCAATTTCAGCATTATTTATTAAAGCTCCTTAGTCTGGAGTAATATTTCCTCCCTGAAACCTTTTCAGTAAAGAAAATTCCTTTCCAGCTTTCACCACGATCATAGTCTAAATCTTGTACCACAAAAAAAAACAAGCTTCACATTATTCATCTTGTATAGATGTCACAATCACCAAATATATTACAGTGCAGTTGAAAAAGTATAAAAAATAAGAATCTTAAAGAAAATACCTCTGAAATTAGAAAATACTTCTGAAAGTAGAAATTTAAATCACCACTGAGGCAATCATTGCAGGTTTCCTTTATGTCTTCATTTTGTCTCAGGTTTATTTTCTCATGGAATGCCAACCAGAAGCTTTCACTTATTAACAAGTAACAATGCAGAAGTGCCACCTACAAACTACAATGACTGCCTTGAGGAACTAGAATGTACATATTTAGAATTTGTCACTGATTTCTTAGTGGCTTTTCCAGTACTCTTTTACAAATTATGCAAACTTATTTGATACACAGAGTATTAGCTCTCTATGAAAGAATCAAAATCAGAGAACAAAGCAACAGAAACTTAATCAGATAACTTTATAGTTAAATCTTACTGTCTAAAACAAGTTGAGCTGGGTGAGTAAGCTTCAGCTACCCTAGAGGCTAAAGCAAGACTGCAAAATTAAAGGCCAGCCTGGGCAACTTAACAAGACTCTATCAAAATAAGATTTTTTTAAAAAGGAAGGAAGGGGACAGGTGTTGGAAATGTAGCTGAGTGGCAAAGTGCTTGCAGCATGTTCAAGACTCTGGATCCAACCCTCAGTTAATAGAAAAATAAAAATCAGACCTATATTTAACCTTCTTTACCTATAAAAATGAAAGTAAGGATTGATCTAAAGATTAAATACAAAAATATATGTGAGAAAGCTTTGTAAAACTTAACATTTCTTATACTTTGAGAGGCTAACAACTATCTTTTGTATTCTCACAATACTTCCATACAATTTAAATTTTATAAATTAAAAGGTTAAATTTTAAATACCAGCCAGGTGTGGTGGCACATGCCTGTAATCCCAGCATTCAGGAGGCTGAGGCAGGAGGATCATTGCGAGTTTGAGACCAGCCTGGGCTATAAAGTGAGGTCAAGGCCAACCTGAACTACAAAGCGAGACCCTGTCTCAAAAAGACCCCCCCCAAAAAAAAAATTCTAAATGCCATGCCCTATGTATAGTAAGAACTCCATTTTATTCTAAAAACACATGAAAAAATGAATCTATGAATAAAAAGTTATTCAGTACATACACTGGAAAGGAAGAGAGGAGTCACAGAACAGGCCCTTCTTCTGCTGGGAACACTTAGGAAACATCTCTCAGATTTGGAGAGTTCTTTTATCTTTTTCAAGATTCTGGGATTGGGCTTTCAACTTTCCTTTTTATTGCTATCACAATTAATAGAAAAATATCTACATTACATACAACCAATACAGAATTAATATCCAGAATTTATAGACTCCCACAAATCTGTAAAAGATAAGTGGGAATGAAATGAAAATGTGGGCAAAAAAGATGAACAAGCAGATCAACCAAGAAAAACTAAAAGCCTAACAAGGATGTAGAAACAATACTCAAAGAGTGCAAAAAAATTAATGCTAAGATACCATTTCACAACCAGTAGATTGGTAAAAATTTAAGAACCAGCCAATACTAAGTACTGGTAAGGATACTGAGATAGCAGTGAGGAAAACTGTTCCTATCAAGTGGGAGAGCAACATAGCAAGCCAAGACATATGTATACTGCATTTTACACACCAGCAACTCCACTTTTAGACATGTACTAGAGAAATTCACACACACAAGTATGTCTACTAGAATACTGTTTAAAATGAGGAAAAACTAGAAAACCTAATTATTAATAGGGAAGTGGGTAAAAAAAATTGTGGTATACTCTCATAATATAATATTATATACAACAATTAAAATGAATGAGGGCTGGGGATATAGCTCAGCAGCACAGCACCTGCCTGGCAAGTGCAAGGTCCTGAGTTCGATTCCCAGTACCAAAAAAAAAAAAAAGGAATTACAACTCAAATAGTAAAAGCACATCATTATAGAATTTATATACAATTTAAGAACATAAAGTACTACTACACAGGGATTCAAAAACAACTAAACAAACAGCTAAAAATGATCAACTACCATTATATATCACAACATAGACGAATCAAAAAACTATGACTAAAATAAGCCACATACAAGTAGGTGCAAAATTACTCCACATGTAGGAAGTTAGGCACAGCAAATGGTTGTGATCTACAGTGACAGAAAACAGATTAAGTGGTTATTGGGAGAAGGGGCATGAGCTAGAAAACATGAGGAACCTTCTGGGGTAATGAAAGTAATTCTACCATCAAACTTACAAGTCTGTATATTTACTATATGTATTCTCAAATTTTAAAGCAAACAAAACGCTTTCAAAATCTATTATTTGGTAGCTACATTAGAGGAAAAAGGATCTGCAAAAGGACCATATTTCTTAAGCTAGGTATGGTGGTGCATGCCTATAATTCCAGCACTCAGGAGGCTGAGGTAGAAGGACCATCATAAGTTTAAGGCCAGCCTGGGCTACACAGTGAGTTCAAGACCCTGTCTCAAAAAACAGCAACAAAAGAAAAACATATTTCTGAATTTCTACAAATGCTTAATATATACCTTTCCTGTCACAAGCAAACATCAATCCTCTAGCTTTATTTGGACCCTTTGTAACACATCATCACTGTCCCTGGTTGAAATAGTATTCCCCTCACTGCTACAATGAAGAAATGGGACAAACACAGAATAGTTCTTAACACATCCTCACAAAAAGTCATGTGGGTATCTGGGAGAGCTGGAGATCAATTTTAGAGACAGGTCAATATTCTGAACAGGGTCCAATCCGTATTAGGAAATGTGTTCATTAGGACTCTCAGAATTACAAATGAAGCAGAGCCTCATCTTGAACAAAAATGGAGTGGTCAGAGACTTTCTGTTGCTGTAAGAAAAACCAACCCATAAGCGTTTCCAAAAAGATACCTTTGATGGCATCTTTTGGAACAAAGAATTGATAGAGACCTATGTGTCTCATTGGCACAAAGCTATTTACTTTTGGTGAATTCCTTCCAAGTTCAATTGTGAAATGTTAATTTTTGGCACCACATGGGTGGAAATGATGAGCAATCATAAAGCAGTTACATCTGCCATAATTATAAATGGGCCTAAAAATGTGGTAAGGATCTGTCTTGGGTCATTTATCCCTCCAGGCCTCTTCACCTTTTTAACCAAACAACATTTGACTCACAACTACCGACAACCTGAGTCCCAAGACCAATCTTTTCATTCATGAGGAGATTTAAGTTTTTAATAACTCAGCATCAAGTTCTAACTGGCTTCTATCCCTGTTCTAAAATTAAGACTTCATCTTATTCTCTAGTTCTAATTTCTGCCTTATTTCCTTAACTTTTCCTAGTCCTTAGGTGACATATGATTGGTATGTGCTACATTTAAACCCCATAATAGTATGATAGGTAATATACTTATTTCATAGATGAAAATGTATGTAACAGAGTGCTTTAAAATACTGTACTGAAAGCCGGGCATGGTGGCGCACACCTGTAATCCTAGCACCTGGAAGGCTGAAGCAGGAGGATCGTTGCAAGTTTGAGACCAGCCTGGGCTGCAAAAGTGAGCTCAAGGCCAGCCTGAACTGCATAGCAAGACCCTGTCTCAAAAAGGCAAAAAATAAAAAAATAAGAATAAAAATAAATAAAATACTGTACCAGGGTCATTTAACACCATCAGAATTAAAATAAAAGGGCCAGCTGGCTGAAAGATGACTATCATTCCTCCAGAAAGAGCTGTGTTCTAGTTGGGCATGTTGGCCCAGACCTGTAATCCTGGCACTCAGAAGGCTGAGGCAAGAGAATAGCTGCAGGTTCAAGGCCAGCCCAGGCTACACAGTGAGTTCAAAATACCACATTGTAGACCCTGTCTCTAAAACAAAGCAGTTTCAAATCATGTCCAAGAGTTGCCAGGGAAAAACTGGAAAGGAGTACTGCTCATTTCACTTTTACACACAGCCATGATATGCAGGCTGCCACATATTCTTTTGATGCTAGACTTATTTTTTGCCTGTCCGCTTACATGAGCCTCCTCCTCTTGTAACTTAAGAAATGAATCTTATCTCAGTCACCCACATCTCATGAAGTCATCTCTTTGGTAAATACATCTTCTCCATCTGCCCCAGCATGTTTCCACTCCCAAGTCTGCCATAAAATAACAGGCAATAGTTATAATGGTCATCTTAGAAATGCTACCTTTATGAGTAATATTATCTATTCTTCTATACTATAGTTTAATATGGCTGGCACAATTTAGATAATGATACTTCCTAGATGTTTGAATTTTAGTAGCCTATTTACATTTAATAAAATTCATTATTTATAGCAACTACTATATGGACTTACCGAGAATAATCTACAATAATCTGTATTTTAAGCTACAATATAAAGTCCTAAACTGAAAGTTACAAAGCCTTGTTAAATTTTTTCCTTTATTTTATGAGCTCTAACATACAACATTGATTTCTGAGTCATATAACCATGTAACGTGTATGACAATATAATCATGTTTGAAAGCAAACTACTCTTCTCACTGTAATATTAATTTTTTTAATTCCTTTCACTGTCCCATATACTCAGCATATAATGTCACCAAAAAGAACTGTTTGTGATGTGGACTGGGACAGTCCTGATTAATTAAACAAAAAAATATGGCTAAGTTATGACCCAAAATATCACCAGGGACCTTCAAATACTGGAAACCTGGCAAAGAAAAGTGTAACAAACACAGGCTGAATATAATTTATTCAAAATGCCTATGACCAGAAATGTTTCAGATTTCAGAGGTTTTCAAATTTTGGAATACCTGTACAAACTTTACTGGCTAAGCAGCCCTAACCCAAAAATCCAACTACTATGTCAATACCTTGCAGTATTCTAAGTATTTACTCAGCTCCCATCCCTTTAACCCATATAAGTAAAGATTATGGATGTACTGTTGCAGTGGTTCTCAAAATACAGTCCACAGAACACCTGCACAAGAATCTCCTAAGGTGCTATTCCTGGACTTTATAAATACAGAATCCTGGACTTTATAAACAATCTAAGTAATCAGAATTTCTAGATTAAGACACTGCATTTCAAACAGGTAGTGCCTAGGTATTGATTGAGAAACCAATGATATAAACCTTTTTATTTTGGCCTTACTATTTAATATAATTGGTTAAAACAAAAATTAAGACTTTTTCTATATTGTGCTAATATTTAAAATGTCACATATGCAAAATGTTTTATAGTCCTTGGAGCATAAGCATGCTTTAATAACTAGAAAAAATTTAGGAGACAATAACAAGGATCCTAATAACCTCAAAAGCAGTATCTCCAAATAAACCTTTTTTTAAGAGCTTGAGAATAGCGAGTTCTTAATTACAGGACACTGATAAACTAACTAGTCTTCACTCAGTTCAGCAGTCCACAGTTTATTCAGTAATATAACAGGAGAGAACTGCCATCATGACAGATATAAGGCAGATACAGGGCTAAATTTGTGGGGTACATTCTTTATACAGGATAACAAATTTAGGTTTTACAACATGTGGCAAGTATGATTTACTGCATTTTCCATAGCCATTCATTCCCCACTGCTTCCTTCCTGAAAGAATTCTGATTTTACCAGTGAAGGTAACGTGGCCTACCTGGGGAATGCCAATTCCATTCCCCTTTGCCAGGCTTTCCCATTCTCATGCACCAGTACCTTCTAATGAGATGTGAAAAGAAATATTCTAGGGACTTTTGCGAAAATTTTTATTCCCAAATGAAAGTCAGAATTGAAAGGAGAAAGCCCTCTGTTCCCTACTTTCAGCTTTTGGTTGGTGCTAAAACGTCTGGTGCAACAAACTATATATCACTCACTGAGGAAACAGCCATGAGGACAAAAAGCAAACACAAGGATTCCAAGAGGGGAGGACAGAAAGAACATGGGTCTTTGATAACATCTTTGAGCTGCTACCTAAGCACTAATTACCTAGCATGTTAAGTTGAATTTAAAAATTGTTCAATGGCTTCTGAAAGATTTTAAACAGCTTTGTCAAAGTTGCCTGTCACACTGGTTTCAGGAGTTTCATGAGTAACAAAAGGCTAAAATGCAGCCACTGTCTAGCAAGACTTTGTTAGTTTTACAAAAGACATTTCCCATAAGACCGTTCAGAATATATACGGAATCTTGATAATTCTTTTTTTCATAAATGTCTATACAAGTACTTTCCCACTTCCAGGACAGGACATTTTAAGTTCAGTCACCACAAAGACAGGACAGTCTTTAGTTATGTAGAACCAAGTAAGTGTAAACAGGCCGTACTTTTACATCTTTTTGTGTAACCTATGTTAAGTGTTGCCTTACAGAATGTGACTTCTCTGACAGTGACCAGTTTTTAATATTCTGACAACCACTTTAAGGATGGGCCAAACAAAACCAATGAGGTGCAAACAGTTATATATGAATAAATTTTAGATATGTACACATATAGACATCTTTACCATTAATAACGGGGGTATTTAAAACAACAGTTTATTAAAATTTATTGGAATAATCTAGAAACCAGCAACAATGAGTATGCTTTCCCACATTAGTTATTGTTAGAAATACAGTTATGGAGCACACAATAGAAGGCCCACCCTTCAGGACTACCTTGTCATATGTCAATAATTAAACTCCAGAACTTCTTAGGAGAGACAAGCTCGTTCCAAAACATCGCTTATAGGGATTATGGATTAGTCTGATTCTAGATAAGCAGTCTGTCTAGAATACTGATTAAATTCATGCTGAACACAGTAAGTGTAGGCCACAGAAGCAGACTAAACAATTTAAGGAGTTCCCTAACACAGTGACAATCTGAATCAAATTTAGAAACAAAAAGCTGGGGTACTAGCTCCGGTAGTGTGCTTGCCTACTTGCATGTGTGGGGCCCCAGTTTTGATCCCCAGCGCCACAAACAAAAAGGAAAAGAAAAAATAAAAAGGAGATATTAGTTATTTTTTCATTTTCCTTAAGCTACTAGAACAAACTCTCTAGTTTCTATGATTTTGACCACTACAAAAGTTACTTATTTTGGCCAAGTTTTTTGTTTAATGTTTTGTCTGTTCTGGTCAAGATTAACTGTAATGCAGGGTTAAAACCAGCTACTCTGGAATCATGTATCCTTTTTCTAACCAGTGGAGGACCCAGAAGAAAAGGATGGCAAGCTTTTTCAAAGGTCCATCTGGTGAGATTTTGGGGAGCCCACTCAAGTGGGAAAGACCAAGGAAGAACAAGGCTTCTATTAGCAGGATTATCAGGGTAACATTCAGGGCAATAATCAGCTCTATTAATACGGTCTAAAAAGACTTGGTAACATTCATTTTCAACAAGTTCAGTTTGGTACAACCAGTGGCCTAGTTCTAAACTAGGAAACCACTGTTGTCCACAATCAGGACAATGTGAGTTGTCTGAGAACATCTGGACTTAGAAAGACAATACAGAGAGCAATGTAAAACCAAGAGGCAAAACTGGTAAGAGGCAAAAACTCCCAGTCCTGTTACAGACTTGGTTTAGCAACTTAGTTCAACAAACATTATTTGAAGAGGGTTAACTTTGGCTTGCACCTCAGTGTAATTCTTCAAGATTTCGTTGTCTATCTTTCACTCAATCACAAGTCTCTGAACTCAGGGACCAATCCAGTCTATAATGTTATCAGTCACCTACTAGCAGCACAGATCTTATAATAGCTCCTCCAAATCTCAGCTTCTCAAGGAAAGACAGGACTCTAGTCTAAGTAAGTTATTTTTTCCTTGGGCTTTATCTGGTGGTTGTGGTGTCACACAGAGGAACTTGGCTTACTTTACTTTGTAGATAAGGTTATTACATTTGGTGATATAAAGAAGCTGACAGGTCCAATGAGTCTTTTTTCCTGGTGCTGGCACTCTTGCCGTTGTAATACACGTAACCAAGTCTTAATGCCTTGGCACTTTACAGCGATGTAGAGGGCTCAGGAAACCCTGGCAGTCCTCTTGAACGTGGATCCAATGAAGTCTGTCTTGGGAGAACCTTAATCTGGACCCAGTCACAGAGAAGTAGCTGGTGTTGAGTTGGCTGAAGGATCTGGGAATGCGTCACGTACCTGTAAATGATAAAACTTCAGACGACTCATATGGGCTTTGCAGTTGCTCACAATATTATTAGAAACATGCATTTAGAAATTATTTGGGTCAGTTAAGGTAGATGAGAATTGTGTGTTTTCCCATGACAATTTAGTATGAGTTCAAACTACTTTATCTTTTGGCAACTATTCTTATGCTTATATGGGCAGTAGAAAGGTATATGAATCATTTAGGATTTATGCTAGGACAGACTTAATTTTTTTAGGATCTTACTTTTTTATATCACTTTAGCATTTTGGGTATAATAAAGTTGGTATAACTATGCTTAATCTGGTAAACTTTGAGATCACTAGTATCTCTCTTCTGTAAAATGGGTGCCATATATGATACTCCCATAATGTATGTGATAACATTAACAAAGGATAACTTGTCCATGACAGACTTCAGCCCAGCCAGGAAAAAGTTTACAAAATTACAGTGGTACCTCAGTTCACAAACTTGATTCTTTCCACAAGTCTGGATGCAAACTGAGCTGGATGAAAACCAAATCAAATTCAATGGTTAGAGTCAATGTTGACCTTACGGGTAAATTTGATTCGGTTCTCTCAGTTTTGTTTGTATCCAGATTTGTTGACAGAATTGAGTTCACCAACCCAAGGTTCCACTGTATTATGTAATACTCTTAGTAGGAAATTGTATAAAACACTTGAAAGCTGAAAAAAAGAAACCAACAGTGCAGATCTCTTTGCCTACATGTATCTTGTAGGTTGACCCACACGGTCATATGAGAAGGCAAGTAAGGCATTGCCCTGAACAACAGACCTGAGTTATCTTGGAAAATGCAGTCAACCAGCTAGAATTTGCAGATGCTATCATTATCTTCGCACTTCCTCACAACACTGGATGTGACATGTAAACAAGTGGCAAAACAGGACACAGGGAACAACTAAACGGCTACCTAAGATCTATTACAGAAGATCCAATCAAAATATATACTCTGGCTTTCTCCAGTATTCTTTCTGTAAATTGAGGCTCAATCGTGAGAATAAAGGTCACGAGAGAGAGCAAACAGGTGGTTGCACTGTATGAAGAACTGGTCTGAAAAGTAGGAATTACAGCGTTACTGTAGCCAGGCAAAGCATTTTCCTTACAGACTCTCAAGAATAGTTTGATGCTTGATTTTCAAATGGCAAGTTGCAAATACAACTGAAGAAACTGACAATGCTACGAAATGGGGCCCATATTTTGATGGAAGCCACAAAGCAGGTCAAAGACAATCAGGTAGGTATGCAGATATGTTTTGTGAGGTTAGGTAACAATGTATGGGTGAGGACTACCAATTCAGCTCCTCAGGGTGAACAAAAGGTATGGCTGTTAACTCAAGGGCTTACTTGGTGACAAGATAGGGAATAAATTTCCCTGCATTTCTGTTGAAAACAGTTTTAACAGCATAAAATTTCAGTTGCTGAACTAAATCTTAGATCTAGTTATAGCATATATGGACAGTGAATTAAATCCCCCCAGTTGTGGAGCTCATTAAACATAAATGATAGAAGTTACGTTACATGACTAAGCCTGACATTTAAAAGATAATTTTGGATTTTTAGAGTAAATCAAGTAAATGCAATTAAAACCATAGCAAGATATCATTTTCCCATCTACCAGGCTGGTGAAATTAACCACTTACCAATCCAATTATTTAAATACAGGACAACCAAAAATCGCATATTTTTCATTAACTTTTATAACATAACAGAAAATGTAAAAATGACAACTTCATCAAATTTATTCAATTACAAGAATCAACTGGTTGAAATGACACCAGCCAAGCAATGCTCAGGATAGTCAGTAGGTAAACAAACACACTGCCCACGTGACACTGCACAGGGACACTAGGGGTAAACTGTTAACTGGTTAACAAAACTGATACTCTAGGCAAAACCACCAGTTCTCATCTCCCACTTTCAAGAGTCAAAAGAGAGCTCTAAAAGCTTGAGGGCTCGATTCAACCTTTATTCTCAAACCTTATGAGGCAAGCAAGTACCATAGCTCCAAGTATTCCTGAAATAAAGAGAACTCCACTGTTTCATGTTTCAGACAAGCCACCTCTTCCCTGCACCTTCAAACCAATATAGGCAAGAATCAAAAGGGGTCTCTAGATCTCCAAGTGTACTCATTACCAGCCTCAACCCATTCTTCAGCTTTAACACTACTGGATTAAATAGAAGTAAAGTGAAGGGAAATGCTCCTGGAAAGATTCCCAATCTAGCAACCTCCACCAACATTCACAGTTTCACTACCACTTTTTGCTTGAAAGTACCAGAACCAATCTTATACTTGTATCTCTGTCAATAACCAAAGGAAGCCCAGGCCTAAACTATCACACAGCTCTAAGAGTAGAGAAGCAACATTCCTTGCTTTATTTGTTACTCCCACAAAACTTGTAACATTTTGCTATAGTATGTATTTAAGCTATTTTCTATCATTAAAATATAAACTAACAACAGGGCTTTTTGCCCTAAGTACACAGTAAATATTTTATTAGTAGTACAGTACATGTTTGTAATACACAATCATTACATTCATCTTGATGACTTGGTACATATGTATCATATCCTGATAACTTTTAATAATCACCCCCCTCATTTCCCCTGATCTACTTTCTCATCTCCAAAAAGTCTGCTTCCTACCATTCTCATTTTTACCCTTTATTTATAGTTTAGCTTTCTCTTATAAGAGAAATCACATAGTATTTAACCATCTGGGTCTGACTTCACTTAACATTATGGTCTCAGGATCCATCCACTTTCCTATAAATGACTTGCAGTCATCCTTTTTAATGGAAATATCTCAAATAAATGCAACAAAGAGTAACTTCAATCTGTATACTCTATAAAGATAGGAGTGCAAATAAGTAAAATCACTTTTAGAATTTGCCATTGTCCAGTAAAGCTAAAGATGTGTATTTCCTCTATCTTAGCAATTCCCCTTTTTGGCATATACCCTGAAGAAATTTGCACAAATGTATTGCTAAAAAATGAATAAAAATCTAACAGTAGTACTGTGTAATCACAAAACAGCCAAAATGCTCATGAATAATAAAATGGATAAATAAATAAAGTTACTGCCAAACAATGGAATATCATACACATACAGAAGAAACTCAAGAATGCTGAGCTTAAAAAAGTAGAAAAAAACCTACATTCTTAGGTAAACGTTCCATTTACATGTTTTAAAAGTAGGTAAAATTGGACAGGGGAGATAGCTAATCAGCATAGTGCCTGCCTGGCAAGTGCAAGGTCCTGAGTTAGATTCCCGGTACCAAAAAAAAAAAAGTATACAAAATTAATTATGTTTAATAATAAATATACAGTAAAGCTCGAAGATAAGCAACAACTCAGGATAATTATTACCTTTGACGGAAGAGGGAAGGGGACATAATCTGGGAAGGCATTCGAAGAATTTCAAAGATAAACATAAAATTTTTCTTTTAACTTGATGGAGAAATGTTCACTGTATTATAAACCATAATAGCCTGTACTACCTCTATTAAATATTTTATAATTTCAATAAAGAGTAAAGCAATAGAGAAAAATTATAAGCAAAACCAAATCAAATCACATCATGGAGAGGAGGCACCAAATACTCTGCTCAGAGGCAAAGTGGGTGTCTCATACTAGAAAAGAGGGATTCTAAAGAAGAATATAGAGCTTTGTTTCTCTCGTAAAACTGTAAGCTTTATTTCTTCATAGAAATAGGTAAAAGAGAGCTCTCTAATGCTGATTTGTATCTTGGCATACTCCATGAAGCAATGAATCTGGGTGAGGAACTTCTGCACAAACTAGAAAACATGCCCTTCCTCCAGGCAAAAGGCAGCCTGGAGAACCTCACTTGGCCAGGTATTCACTAGCAACAGATTGTACAACTTAATAACAATAGCTAAGCCACCAATACTTAAATAAATAACAATAGCTAACATTCAGGTAGTACTACTTTATGTTCTGAACACTTTACATGTATTAACAATTTTATTGCTGTAATAACCCACTGACAGATTATTATCCTTATGCTAGAAAAATAAAATTTAGGCAACTTTCCCAATGTCACACAAGTAACTGAGAAACAACTAGATTGAATCCAGACAGACTGGTTCTAGAACTTACACTCTCAACTACCATGAAATACTGCCCTTCATAAACAGAAAGCTAAACTTTTCTTTCTTTTCACAAATTGTTTACAAAATATACAATATGTTTAATTGTTGTATATAATGGAGTTGAGTGGGAAAAACTGTCCCTTATAATTTCCCAACCACACAAAAAGATACAGATTTCAAGGAGTCCTGAATTCTCTGAAATTACATATAAAAAAAAGTATATACATATGTAGTGTGTGTGTGGTACTAGAGGTCCAATCTCACACATGCTGACATAAGCACTTTACCACTAGGTTCCCCACTCCATTTCTAAAAATTTTATTTTGAGGTAGGATCTCCGTAAGCTGCCCAGGTTGGCCTCAAATTTACGATCCTCCTGTTCCAGCCTTTCAGGCAGCTGGAATTATAGGTTGGTACTACCATGTTTTTTCCAGGAAGATGATACATACTAACAAACTCCTGAAGCAGTCTAAAATGGTTCAGAACCATTAAGTATTTAATAGTTCCAGGTCATTTTACTACCAAGGTTAACTTTTATTTCTAGAATTACCACTCTTCAACCTCATTTTCCAAAGCTGTTCAAGCAATCT